CGCCCCGCCCCGCCCCGCTCTGACACGGCACGCCCCGGCCCCGGGCGCCCCACCGCATTGCATATAGTCGGCTTCCCCCCTTCATTCGATTTGGCGCCCTAGTTGTCGGCCCCCCCGGTACCCTCTGAGGTACCTCACCTCGGTGTTGGGGATGACGGTGCCCGGGCGGATGTAGTACTGCAGGTGGCAGCTGCGCGGGTCGTGGATGGAGATGCCGCGGGCGTGGAACACGAAGAAGCGGTGCTGCATCGTCTGCAGCTTGAGGGCTGCAACAGGAAGGCGTGTGTGTCCTGAGAACGACGACTATGAAGGGCAGACGAGAGCCTGACTGGTCGGGGCCAAAGGCTAAGACTTCAATTTTTTTATATAAAATCAGTGTACACACTTTGTATATTGAAAATATCCAGAAAAAAACAATTTAAAAAAATCAAAAATATCAAGGGAAAACATGGAAAAATTGGAAAAAAGGATTCTTTTCTTCAGAAAATTAGGAAAACCTAAAAAAAAGAAAACATGTGTACGCCTTTAGCTCTATAGTGAAGCAGCACTGAGAAAAATGTTTGGTCACCACGGCCGAAAATTTGGTTGCTCCCACTAAAATGGTAGGTGTTCTATCTGCCCCACGGAAAAAAAAGATTCGCTGAGCCAGCTAATATATTGACTGGTATCTGGACAGACAAGCACATAAACTTCTGTAACGTTCTGTAACCACTATATTGTCTACTCTAATCAATCATTGGCTGTGCCAGTCAAAAATTAGCTGTAAGAGCTCATCCCTTACCTAAATCAGTCGAGGTCTACCTTACTGATGCAGGCGAATCATTACTTCATACAACTTATCTTTGACTGGCACAGCCAATGATTGATTAGAGTAGACAATATAGTGGTTACAGAAGTTTATGTGCTTGTCTGTCCAGATACCAGTCAATATATTAGCTGGCTCAGCGAATCTTTTTTTTCCGTGCCCCCTAGTCATAACCATAGAAAGTTCTATCGTGCTTGGCTGAGCGTTCAGACGCTCCAACCAAACACTACTCCAGCCAGCACGATAGAACGTTCTATGGTTATGACTGAGGCGGCGGATAGAACACCATTTTAGTTACAGCTACCAAAGTATTTCTCTGCGTGAAGGTCTCACCCTGGCCCTGCGTCTCCTCACGCAGCACGATGAGCGTGGTCATGTCCCGGGTGGTGCCGGCCGCCGACTTGCCCTGGCAGAAGTAGACGCCCGTGTCGGTGTAGTCGACGTGCCGGATGCGCAGCTCGGTGCCGTTGCCGATGGTGACGTACTTGCGGGGGTCGGTGGCGCGCAGTGGCTCCTCCCCCTTCAGCCACTGGACCTGCGAGAGGCGAGGCGGAGGAGTTAAATCGGGTGACCGCGACCTTCTATTGTGGGGTTGGGACAGTCAGAAACAGGCGGCGGGCGGGCGGGCGGGCGCGATGAGCTGCTCACCTGCGGGAAGGGCTCCCCCGTCACGTGGCAGAACACGACGGCGTCCTCGCCGGGCTGGCGCGTCTGGACCCGCGGCTCCACGGACACGGTGGGCATGGCTGACGGGGAGAGAATGGAGACGCACCTCGTCAGAGACAATGGCAGAGCAGGGCAGGCGGGACAGGGAAAATGCCTGAACAAGACAATGATGCGGGCGGCGGAGCCACGCGTACAGAACACGACTGTGACAGTGCGGCGAGGGGGGGGGG